CACACAAACACACACACACATGCACGCAAGCATACATGCACATGCAAACACACATACCCAAACACACATGCACACACAAACACACATGCACATGAAAACACACATGCACATGTTTACAACACACATACACACACAAATTAATCAAAATGTTGGTGGTTTTGTTTTGTTTTTACCTTTTCTGACCACTTAAAGAGTCTAGCTGTTTTCCCACTCCTACCCTCCCACACCCCAGCAAAGGTAAAATGCTTACATTACATTCTAAAATCTACTTCCTGGCCAAAGGTCTCCTGGACCCTGGAGAAGGGCTGACTCCAGGCCGGGATGGGCAAGGCAGGAGAAGCTGGACTTTTGAAATCTGCTAAAGAATGGTGAACACATTTCAAAGGAGCCAGTCTAGACAGGCTTGAAGAGGCACCCATCACCCAATCTGAGGAACTTTGAGCACAAAATAAACAAAGGTGGTAATTTTTTGCATTTAGCCCATCTGATAAAATACAAGTCCTTGAGTCAATACAGATTCTGTATAGAGATCTAGAGATACTAGCTTAATGCAATGTCCTAGCCAGGCATCACTGAACAGACAGATAGCACATGCTTCCTGGACTAACAGCAGTGAGGACGCAAAGGCACCTATGCAGTATCCTGCCCCCAAAGTTTCACCTGGGTCTACTCAGCAAGAAGCAAACAGACACAAACCGAGGCCTGTCTGCCAAACAACCGGCCACACTGCTTTACAAATGTCAGCATCATGAGAGAGAAAAGACAAAGTCAAACAGAGACTGAGAACTGAGGCCAGCTCAAGGAGACTAAGGGCACATAGCACCTACGGAGTTTGCATTTAGCAAACTTCCGGCTTATTCTTCTAAAATCAAGCAACCTACCCAGGCACAGTGACACGGTCCTGTAGTCCCCACACTTAGAAGAGAGGAGAATCTCAAGTTCGAGGCCAGCCTGAGCTGCCTGAGTCTCCTGGTCCAAAGGCTGAGACTGTAGCTCAGTGGTAGAGCACTTTGGCTAACAGGCACAAGACCTGAGTTCTGCCCCTGGTGCCACATAGATGCATACACAGAGTGCCGCATAGTGTACACTGTTATAATCTCTGTAATAAGGGCAACTAGTAGCATGTGGTGCATATTAAATAACAATAGTGCACAGACATTAAATCTCTGGACCAGTGAGATGGCTTGAGCAGTGGATAAAGGGGCTTGCTGCTAAGCCAGACAACCCAGGGTTTGATTTCCAGAATCTTTATCTGCCAGGGATGCAGATATTCCTGTTTGATTGATTGATTGATTTTTTTTTTTTGAGACAGGGTTTCTCTATATAGCCCTGGCTGTCCTAGAACTTCCTCTGTAGACCAGGCTGGTCTTGAACTCACAGAGATCCGCCTGCCTCAGAGTGCTGTGACGAAAGGCGTGTACCACTGCCACCATCCGACAGGATGCAGATATTCTAAATCGAGGCGGGGGTCCTTCACTTTGACTGTAGGACTATCGGACAGTGGATCCCAAGACACTAGAATTCCACCAGGAATCTCACTTAGGGAGGAGAGAAAACTCAAAGCCTGGGCTGACCAGAGAGGACATTTCTCTCCAGGACAGACGTTCATAACTTGTCAGCCTTTCTTAGAGAAGAGACAGTGATGGGTCAGTGGTGTGTGGGGTCATAGCTTGACCCACACTGCTGAGTTCTGTATAGCACTGAATCTCTCTTCAGGGCCCTAAGATAAACCTGGAACCCCTGAATCTCTTTGTCCCTCTACCCACTATCGTCATGTTGAATAAATCTCATTTTCTGTCTTTTGATGTTAATTGGGCAGCTTTAAATGCCTTATCACTGACAGAGGATTGAATCTGATTTGTTGGGGTACAGTCTGTGTCCCCAAATCTGGTAACAGTAAAAGGAGAGAATTGCCTCCCACGAGAATACTGTGGCACACACACACACACACACACACACACACACACACACACACA